CGGGCGAGACGCTGTCGCGTGCCGCCTGCGATCTGCTCAACCTGCTCGACCCGGCTCCGCCCGGCCACCCGCGTGTCGTGAACCAGGTGTTCACCACGCTCGGTATCGAGCAGGAGTTCTTCCTGGTCGACCGTGCGCTGTACGCGCTGCGCCCGGATCTGAAGATCTGCGGTCGCTCGCTCATCGGCAACCTGCCGCCGCGCCACCAGCAGATGGAGGATCACTACTTTGGCAAGATCCCGTCGCGCGTCGTTTCGGCCATCAGCGAGGTCGAGCTGGAGCTGTACAAGCTGGGTGTGCCGCTCAAGACCCGCCACAACGAAGTGGCTCCGGCGCAGTTTGAGGTGGCGCCCATCTTCGAGGAGGCCATGATCGCCGTCGACCACAACCTGCTCACCATGGATGCGCTGCACAAGGTGGCTCATCGCCACAAGCTCAAGGCGCTCTTCCACGAGAAGCCGTTCTCGGGCATCAACGGCAGCGGCAAGCACTGCAACTGGGCCCTGTCGACCGACCGCGGCGAGAACCTGCTGGAGCCGACCGAGAAGCCGGAGACCAACTACCGCTTCCTGCTCTTCCTGGTCGCGGTGCTGGATGCTGTCCACAAGCACGGCGGTCTGCTGCGCGCCGGTATCTCGTCGGCCAGCAACGACCACCGCCTGGGTGCCAACGAGGCCCCGCCCGGCATCATCTCGGCCTTCCTTGGTGAGCACCTTACCGAGGTGCTGCACAGCATTGAGGAGTCGCGTCCGGTCAAGAACTTTTCGCGCCCGGAGATCCAGTCGATCAAGCTCGGCGGCCGTGTGCTGGACGTGAAGGTGTCGACCCTGCCCAACATTGCACGTGATCTCACCGATCGCAACCGTACCTCGCCGTTCGCCTTCACCGGCAACAAGTTCGAGTTCCGCGCTGTTGGCTCCAAGCAGTCGCCGTCCTTCCCGGTCACGCTGCTCAACACGGCCGTTGCCGCTTCCCTGCGCGAGGTCTCTGCTGCGCTGCGCGCTCAGATGGGCGACCGCCCGTACCCGACCGATGCCGACAAGCTGGCGGTCATCAAAAAGTTCATCGCGTCCAGCCGCCCCGTGTGCTTTGAGGGCGACAACTACAGCAGCGCCTGGGCCGAGGAGGCTGAGCGTCGTGGTCTGCAGAACATCCGCAGCGCGCCGGAGGGCTTTGAGCAGCTGCTTGAAAAGTCCAACCACAGCATGCTCATCAAGGAGGGCGTGTTCAACGAGTCGGAGCTGCACTCGCGCTACCACATTCTCATGGAGCGCTACGCCAAGGACGTCCTGATTGAGGCTGGCACGCTCATCAGCATCATCAACACCACCGTGCTGCCGGCGGTGTTTGAGTACCGCCAGGTGCTCGCCAGCGCGGCCAGCGCGCTGAGCCAGATTGACGGTGACTCCTCGCCGGAGCGCCGTCTCCTCGCTGAGCTCGCGCCGGTTGTCAGCAAGCTGCAGGCTGATGTGGCCAAGCTCGATGAGGTCTCCAAGGAGGTGGCCAACATTGACGATGCGCCCAAACAGAGCCACGCCGCATACAAGCAGATCCTGCCGATCATGGAGGCTGTGCGTGCCGGCGCCGACTTTCTCGAGTACCGCGTGGCCGACAAGTACTGGCCGCTGCCCAAGTACACCGAGCTGCTCTTCACCTCCTCGTAAATTACCGCACGCCAGTGCACCCAGCAGCGACGACTGGCTAGATGATCCGGCGAGCGCCGCTGTGTGGCTATTGTCGCATGTTTATTTCTATAAAGCAACGGATTTGTGTTTACTCCATCCTTGGTGCGCGCTGCTTATGCCAGCAAGCAGTGTTTGAGCTAGCGTCTTGCGGGTGGTGGTGTGGCGATGCAGCAGAATCGGTAGAATGACGACACTGGTATCATCCCAGTGACAAATCCCCACTACTGCCACACGCCCATCGTCTCAACGATCGCAGTCCAATCCATCCTTTCCCAATACCTGCTCGTCACACGCTTACTGCTTGATTCTGCACGCACTGTGCCGCGTTACTAGCTGTTTTCATAGCACAGAAGCCAGTCTGCGATGTTTCTAATTGGCAAGCGCGTTGCGTGCTACAACACCAGCAGCGCCTCAGCAGCTCACATTAATACGTCCGTGTAGTTGGCCTATCGCCCCGGCGACGCTGGATATCCGAAGGCACGCGGCAGTGCCCGCGGTGCGGCTATCCGACAATGGCGGAAACGCGCGTCGACCAGCGCTTCAGTCTCTTCTTTGTGCCACTGTTTACCGTACGTGGCTAGCATCCTGATGGTTGGCAGGAAAAAGCTGACGATACGCGCTACCCGCCGTCTAACTGCCCTTGGTTGTCATGACTGCCTCACCCGTGTAGGTTCGCCGCGGTAATCCAATGTGGCTGTGCGCGCAATGTGGCACCATAGATTACCAGATACTGCAGCATCCACCAAAGCCACGCACCAGCAAACACACGATAACGTCGAAACGCGACTCCAAAATGGCAATAGAGTCGGCAGGCTCCAACTCTCGCGCTGATGCGGCAACGTGTAGTCGATGTGGAAACGTCAATTCAGACCGCGAGTGGCACTTTTGTTCACGATGCGGCCACCAACGCTAACAGCGGTATGCTGGACACATTGCAATAAGCATGCTTGGAGAAGCGCCGATTACCCGTGCGAATGTACCTGCAGAAAACACACGCCGATCTCTAGGCAAAGCGTGCTCCAGTTATATAAAGCATCTTGCTTGATAAACTTTATATCATCACGCCATAAATTTTGCGCACTAGACCCATGTCGTATAAAACGTAGGAGTAGGCAAGCAGAAAGCATGAACGTGGGGCTATATTTTACGGTAGCTGCAACACCGCCACAGCAGCAATTACACAGTAGTTTGAGGCTACAGGTCAACAGAACTGAATAGAGATAGCGTTGTCACAGCCTATTCAGCAAATAACGCGTCAGAGTTGGTAAAACACTGGTGCATCATGCTGCCAGTCGCCCAGCGTGGTCCTACGCACGATCGCACTATTTCAGCTAAGCTTCGCGTAGCCTCGTCGGATACTGATTTGTATTGCGATAATGGTGCTTGGCCAGGTAAAATGTATGCTCGATCTGACATGGCCAAATCACAGCTTGGCAAGTGGAAAGCGCAGCAGTGCCTGGACGCGGTGTGAATGTTACACAGGGAACAAAATGGACAGCAACATGACTGACAAAAGTGGAGGTAACGGGGTTTGAACCCGTGGCCTCTCGCATGCAAAGCGAGCGCGCTACCACTGCGCTATACCCCCTCAGCTGTGGGAAGCTATGACACAGTCAATTTCTACAATGATACAGTCGTGAAGCGTAAGCACGACGCGCGCAATTTTTTGACGTTCCTCGCCTGCAACGTAGATGGTTGCGATCTGCCGACTATGCTGGTGAATTCTGACGCTCAAGAGTCTGCAGATATCTAATAGGTGTCGGTGATACTCGCCAGTAGTTAAAGAAAGGTAACGGCGGGGTTACAGATGGCACATCCCCCTGTTCGCAAAGTAGGCACTCGCGGACTGTTGGCCAAACTAGATACGGCAAATGTTCATGCGTCTGGAATATAATAAACACATGTAGGCACAATACATGCAAATAATGTAAACTGTGCTCCCGAGGCAGCGGCATTTAGGGTACTCGACGTTGCTGATGCTTGTAGAAAATACATGTTTACTAGAGCAGCCCATCAACGTTGCCATACACTGCGTGCCAAATGCATAAACTCGTCTTCGCTTATAGAATATTGCTCAGCTACATGGCGAAGTGCACGTAGATTGTCCAGCAGCAAAGTATGTGCCTTGCCATCTGCGAGGGCCCGAAGCGGTTGATGCGCAAAGTTGACTTGACTGTTGCCACTGCCAACGTCACAGGTCATAGCCTTGCTAACGGCCGCAGCTGTGGTATTTTGCGCCTGTCGCTGCGGCGGTGTCTGCGCATCCAATGCATCGTATCGCGCCCAATAATCATCTTCGCTAGTGTCATCGGCGTGTTGCGCAGGTATTGACGAGCGATCCGTCGTAGAACTGTCGTACATGGCCCAGTAATCATCCTCGCCGTCGTCGTCGTTGTCATCGTTACCATCGTCGCCTCGATTACTCATGGCGTGGTCCCAGCCAACATCCGCTACGCCGTAATCATCGCCTCTGGCCACGCCCTTCAGTCCTATGCTTTGGCCACACTCAAACGTGCCACTACGCGGCCGATTGTCGTGACGCAATGCATCCTCTGCTAAACCAATGGAGGAGAACCAGGTCACACCGTCCGTTTCCCCGCCGACCGACGCAATCTCAGCCGTCGTGTTAAAGTAACGCCAGACACCGTCTACCTCGCGCTCCATGATAATATAATAGTTGATGTTGGCGGTTTCGCCTGTGATTGAGCTTTCCGCGCTGGCAAATCGTAATCGTGCGCGGCGAATGCTACCCTCAACCACACAGAATTCCGGCGAGGAAAGTGCCGGCAAAGCGCTTTTCTTGGAAAAGCACTGCTCAATATGCAGTTGCGTGTTATCACTGCCCGTAGCGGTCACAGGCTGCTGCTGCCATTGCCAGAGCTGTTCTGGTGGCAGCGAGTCTTGTAGTAGCATAAGCCTTTGCCGAGTGGCAGCGCACGCCAAGGACAAGAGCGCTTTATCATCACGATGCGCACGCGCGTGCAGAGTTGCTGCTGCCGACTCGAGTAGCGACATGGAGCGGTGGAGTGGTGGAGCGCGGGAAACTAAAGGGTTGTGGGGCAAGGGGCGCACTGTTGCCGTCCGGTCTCTCGCACGGCTCTTCTGTCCACGTGCACACCCCCACCACCACCGCCACCATCTTTTGCGTGCACTACCTTCTCTGACTCGAGCTTTCTCGGCTTTTAAATGCGCAGCAACATGCTACGCTGCCTAGGCGACATGTCGGTTGGGTTTAGGGTGACGTGGGCCGCGGGTACCTTTTTTGGGTGCAAAGCTTCAGAGTCATAGAGTTCACAGGCGTAGATCACCCCTAATGCTCCCGTAGCTCAGTCGGTGGAGCGGGGTGCTTATAGGATACAAACTATACCAAAGTCACGCCCAGGTCGCGAGTTCGAGCCTCGCCGGGAGCAGTTTTTTACTACCATGTCTGCATCTAGTAACTTTTGGCTCGTAAAAGCCACACACTGCGTGCGGCCGCGAATTATGCTGCAGTGCCGTCTTTCGTAAGAGACGACAACGTGCGCACTCCGTGTGAATTTATTGTGTTGGCATACACATCGGAGTACGCGATGCGGCAGTATGGCAGCTACCGCTTTGCAAACGTTACCCTCAGCGAACGACCTGACGTCTGCCGCAGTCCATGCATCACTTCCTTGGCCACGCCGGCCTGTGCTGCAGTGCCATACTCTACAAACGCCATCGCACGATCGCCCGAGATCATACGCACTTCCTTGAAGCCGTCGTATCTGCCCGCAGCGTGATTAGCTCGGACACCAGTGAAGAAGTGATATAAACGCGAGCCTGATGCGTACTTTTGGAACAGCTCTGCCAGCTCGTTTTGCGCCGTGTTGGCAGCAATACCACGTACAAAGAGAATCTTGTGCGGCGGCTGCGCATCGTTCTCGCCATCGCTTGCCTCTGACATATCTGATGATGCAGAAAGAGGAAAAAGGTTAGTCATGTACACGTTGTCTACGCGCCTCAATGTGCTGCCCACCTTCGTCCTCGCTGCCATCTGACCGTGCCCGCCTTGCCGGTGGTTGCTCCACTTCCATCTCTAGCGACATTGCACAGAAAATGTCGTCAGGCACAACAAGCACTCCCAAGTGCTGGCCGTTCACCAGCTCATAGCATCCTGTTCTCTCTTACCGTCATCGCTGTCGCTGTCGTCACGATCTGCTGGCCGAGCGCGCTTCCCATCTGCCGCTGCACTTCCCCTTGCATTGACGCTATAGGTGCCATCCAACAGTGCTATCGCGTGTGCCTTTGTGGACGCATACTCGACAACCTGCGCCATACACTGCGATGTCAAAACAGGCGCAAACGCATCGTCTTGGTGCTGACGCGCTTACCAATGGTCGCTCATAGAACAGAAAGCCGTTCAGGCCACGCAACGCGGCAGTCGCCTCTGGAATATCGCGAAAGATGACAAACGCCTTGCTGCGCATCTTGTCAGTGCGCGTGTGGACAATGTCTACGATGCGACCGTACGCCGTAAACAGCATATGCAGCGACCGCTTCATCTCTGGTCGCGTGCCCGTTAGTCTGTGCGCACGCGTGCTGACCCGCATCCGTCGCCACTGCCATCGACGCCCACCTTCCTTCTTGACGCGATGGTTGAGATTCGCCACGTAGAGCGCCTGGTTTGGCGCAGCGGTGGGCGGCATGTTGTCTACGCTGGCGATCTCAAGAAGGCAAAACGGCGTGACAAAGTAGGAAAATGAACAACAAAGATGCGTCGTCTTTACGCCGCATACACCCACTTGTCCTTCTTGCCTACATTCCCGACCAAGCGTCTGCAACTCTAGCATGGACACTGACTCACCGACGGCCAAGCGACTTGCGGCGCTTGAGACGATTGAGCAGGTGTGCAGGCAACCGTGCTGTCTGCGACGACACAGCCGCGTTCAACACCCGCGACTAACCTACTGTTCCTAGCGTATCGTCGAGCTGCTTCGCGTGGCCGTGGAGGCGGTTGACGCGCTGAACGGACGCTCAGAGGACGGACGTGTGGACGATCCGGCCGCACTCCGTGAGACGTTTGAAGAGTGCTCCAATCGATACTACAAACTGCTAGAGGTGGGCATTCGAGCGGATGAACCATTTCCGCAAACGTGCGCGCTGTGAACGCGGCGACAATACTACCGCGCTCGAGCGGAGGCGCTAATACAAGCGCACTTGTGCGGCATCCGTAGAACATCCAGGTGATGCTGCGCCAGCAGTTTCGCTACCTGACCGAGATTGGCATCACCGATGCCGACGTGATATTTCGCTCGCAGGTGGCCGGTGAAGAAAAGGACTGCGCACAATGGCGCGCAACGCTGGTACAACTGCGTCAGGAAATCGGGCGAGCACGGGGCGCACTATACGCTGCGCATGACAAACACGGCTAGCTTTATTCGGCTTCCGCGGGTGAAATCGGATGTTGATTTGTATTGCGATAATGGTGCTTGGCCAGGTAAAATGTATGCTCGATCTGAC